TTTCCTGTGTCATTCAATATTTTGCCCATAGAATCCTTCATTATTGCAACTCGAGGTTTGAATTCTTCTTCAGTTCTTTCAGCTTGAGAAATGCTGAGCATGTTCTTCCCTTTTGGTTTTCTATCTCCAGGTCTTTGCACATGGCATTATAATACTTTACTTTGTCTTCTTGAGCCACCCTTTGAAATCTTTTGTCCAACTCTTTTACTTCATCATTTCTTCCTTTCATTTTAGCTACTTGACGTTCAAGGGCAAGTTTCTTCTGACATCCATTTTGGTCTTTTCTTTCTTTCCTGTCTTTATAGTGATCTGTTGCTTTCTTCATGTATGGTGTCCTTGATGTCACTCCACAACTTGTTTAATCTTCTTCATTAGTGTTCAGTATGTCAAATCTGTTCTTGAGATAGTCTCTAAATTCAAGTGGGATATACTCAAGGTCATACTTTGGCTCTTGTGGACTTATTCTAATTTTCTCAGCTTCAATTTGAACTTGCATATGAGCAACTGATGGTCTGTTCTGCAGTTGGCCCCTGGCCTTGTTCTGACTGATGATATTGAGCTTGTCCATCATCTTTTTCCAGTGATGTAGTTGATTTGATTCCTGTGTCCATCTGGTGAGGTCCATGTGTATAGTCCCCGTTTATGTTGGTGAAAAAGTTATTTGCAATGAATAAATAATTGGTCTTGAAAAATTCTGTCATGCGATCTCAGGCATTGTTTCTATCTCCAAAGCCATATTTTCCAACTGTCATTTCTTCTTTGTTTCCAACTTTTGCATTCCAATCATCAGTAATTATCAATGCATCTTGATTGCATGTTTGATCAATTTCAGACTGCAGAGGTTGGCACAAAGCTTCAATTTCTTCATCTTTGGCCTTAGTTGTTGGTGCAGAAATTTGAATAATAGTCATATTAACTGGTCTTCCTTGTAGGCTTATGGATATTATCCTAACACTGACAGTGTTGTACTTCAGGATAGATCTTGAAATGTTCTTTTTGACGATGAATATAATGCCATTCCTCTTCAATTTGTCATCCCCAGCATAGTAGACCGTATGATTGTTTAATTCAAAATGACCAATACCAGTCCATTTCAGCTCACTAATGCCTAGGATATTGATGTTTATGCATTTTATTTCATTTTTGACTACTTCTAATTTTCCAAGATTCATACTTTGTACATTCCACGTTCAGATTATTCATGGATATCTGTTTCTTCTCATTTTGAGTTCTGCCACATCAGCAGATGAAGGTCCCAAAAGTTTGACTCCATCCACTTCATTAAGGTCGACTCTACTTTGAGGAGGCAACTCTTCCTCAGCTGTGTTTTGAGTGCCTTCCAACCTGAGGGACTCATCTTCTGGCACTATATCAGAGAATATTCCACTGCTATTAATAAGGTTTTCACTGCTACTTTTTTTCAGAAGTAGACTGCCAGATCCTTCTTCCTAGTCTGTCTTAGTCTGGAAGCTCAGCTGAAACCTGTCCACCATGGGTGATCCTGCTGGTATTTGAATACTGGTGGCATAGCTTTCATCATCATAGTAACACGGAAGCACCCACAGTACGACAAACTGACAGACATGTGGGGGGAAATTTACATTAAGTAATTTACATTAAATAAATTTTTAAAAATATAAATAACCCCCTACTCAAAAAAAGATGTGGGCAGTGTAGATAACTGCCTAATATTTGCACATAGAAGCATTTTAACATTTACTATCAGGGGAGAGGGAGAGATTAATAGGTGGCACACAGGGCATCTTCAGGGAAGTGAAACTATTCTTCAAGATACTGTTATGGTGGGCACATGACATTATGCATTTGTCAAAACTCATAGGTCTGTAGAACAGCAAGAGTGATCCCTAATTAAACTATGAACTTTAGTTAATGGTACTGTGGAGCCCTAAAAATTGTAGGACCCTTGACTAAAATAAAATGATTGATGTGGAGTCGTGTCTTATACCACATTCTGACTTCTACTTCTGGTTAACAGGCTGTTAATCTTTTACACAGATCTAACCCTATCACTAGGAAAACAAAATTTTTTTTCCTGTGACTAAGCCCAAGGGAATGTCAGCAGAATTCTCTCTAAGGGTCATTGCTCAAACGATTGCCAAAACCCTTTGTGCTCCAGAAATAATTTTGCTTTAATCCAGTTATCTCATAATTTGCTCTCAGAAAATCTATTCTGCAGTCACCCAGGCTTTACCTCACTTCTCATTAATCAAATGTCCAACCTTTACATTTCAAAGGACTCTAAGCTGAAAATAACCTGGTCTACAATGAATCATCAACCCCCTGTTGGCACATTCTTCTGCTATCATCAAGTCAATGGTTTACCAGGGGAAATTGACATAGTTTCAGATGTTTACAGACTTGGTAATCTTGGTATATTATTAATGTATCCTGACTGTATGGTATTCTGTCTCAAGGTTATGATATGTTACATCTGAATCTCTTTAAAAATAAAAATTTAAAGATATTTTTGTCTGAATTAACTTTATTTGGCTTTGTGTTACTTTTGTAATTTCCAAGTGTTTCACTTTTAAGAAATAGTATTATTTTAAGTTAATCATGGCCATATTAAATTAAAAAAAATTTTAAATTATGCTTTATGTGAAAGTTTACAGAGCAGATTAGTTTCCCACGCAATAGTTTGTAATAAAGTGTTGCATGACATTGGTTGCGTTCCCCACAATGTGTCAGCACCCCCCCCATTTTCTCCCTGGGTTCTCCATTTATTTTCATATGGATTTTCTACATCTTCTTGCCTTTCTTCTTTGTTTTTGGGAAAATGTTGTCTTTTTGATCTCATAACTGATTGTTCTAAGGAACACATTCCTCTTGGATGTTATTGTTTATTGTGGGCCTGTCTATTGTTTGGCAGAAAGGTATTCTCTGGGAATGACTTCAGTTCCAGGTCAAAAGTGTCTTAGGGCCATAGTCTTGGAGGTTCTTCCTGTCTCTGTCAGACCAGTAAGTCTAGTCTTTTTTGTAAACTTGATTTTTTGTTCTTCATTTTTATCCCACGCTGTATGAGACTCTCTGTTGTGATCCCAGCCAGAGTGGTCAGTAGTGGGAGCTGGGCACCATCAAATTCTTCTGGTCTTGGGGTCATGTAGGCTGTGGTTCATGTGGTCCATTAGTCCTCTGGACTAATTTCTCCCTTGAGTATTTTGTTTTCTTCACTCTCTTTTGCTCCAGATGGGAAGAGGCCAATAGTTCTATCTTGGATGTCCACTTGCAAGCTTTTAAGACCCTAGACACTATTCACCAAAGTAGGATGTAAAACATTGTCTTTATCAACCGTGTTGTGCCAATTGATGTAGATGTCCCCCATATCTATGGTCCTTTGTTTTCATGCCTAGGAACTTCATCCTGCAAGGTATTTGTTTATGTCTAAGAAATTTCTGCGACTGTGCCCCTTGTGTGCTCTATGATCTATATTAATATACATGCAGCACCGTCAATGAGATGACTTGACACAGTGGCTGTAGCAATGGGCTCAAACATAGCAATGATTGTGAGGATAGCACAAGATCAGGTAGTGTTTCATTCTGTTGTATGTAGAGTTGCTATGAGTCAGAACTGACTTGATGGTGCCTAACAAAAACAATAGCACCTACAATTATGTATGGAGAAATATCCACAACCAAACCTATATCTGCAGGTGGGTGTGCTCCCTTACACCCCTCCACACTTCTTTAGCATATCTACCTACCTATGTATCAATTTTTAAATTATTGTTAGTTAACAGTATTGTTGCAGGATTATCTACGTTATAGTAATTACCATAGTTACCCTTTATTCTTGTGTTCCTCTCAGTGTCTTTCTTTGCCTTGGTCATGTTGTGCTGACTTCCTCCATATTGTGTATTACCTTTCCTGTCACCAGTATTAACATGTGTCTTCTATCTAGCTAGTAATTTTCCCTCCTTCCCCCTCCCATCCCTGTATGTAAACTTTTTCTTGTTTTATATAAGGTGGACTCATACAATATTTGTCCCTTTGTGATTGACTTAGTTTACTCAGCATAATGTCCTCCAAATTCATCAATGTTGTGAGATGTTTGTGGATTCGTTGTTATTCTTTATCCTTGCATAGAATTTCATTGTGTGTATGTACCACAGTTTGTTTATCCATTCCTGTTTTGATGGGTGGCCATATTAAGTTTTGTCATACACAGACAGGTTTTACTTTGCTGACTTGCTGAAAACACTTGAATATGATATTTCAATAACAACAACAAAAAAGAACTATATCAAACCTATAAAAAGAACTATAATATTTCAGACATGAATACTATCATGGATTGAATTGTGTCCCCCTAAAATATGTGTCAACTTGGCTAGGATCCTCTATTTTGTGATCAGATGCAATTATCCTATAGTCTCCCATTTTGTGTATTGTAGACCTGACCTCTATGTGTTAATGAGGAAGGATTAGGATAGGATGTGTCTTGAGTCACCACGCTTCACCACTCTTACACAAGCCACACTCTTGCTTAAGTCACATCTTTTATCTTACGAGAGATAAAAGGAGAGAGAAGCAAACAGAGAAAGTAACCCCGATACCACCAAGAAGAAGAGATAGGAGTGGAGCTCATGCTTTGGACCTGGAGTCCCTGTGCTGAGAACCTCCTAGAACCAGGAGACACAGAGAAAAAGCTGTAACCAGAGACAGTGCAACATAGTGAAAAGAGCAGCAGAGAAATGATGGCAGCAGAACCAGGAGGCTGACATGAGATGGTGAAGGAGTCGACTCATGGAGTGAGAGAGAGCTGAGTGCCTTCAGGCAGGAGGCTTCCTGGTGGAGTGGGGTGGCTCTGTGCACTTACTGGTGGAGCTTAAGAGCTTTGTAACACTTGCCTGAGCAGGGCAGAGGCAGAGCTGAAGGCCAAGGGCCCAAGGGCCAGAGAGAGAGGCCTACCTGTGGACACGGCTGAGAAGAGGCAGTCCTAATTAACACGGACCTTCCTCTGGAGCCAACAGAGAAAGAAGACCTTCCCCTAGAGCTGGCAGCCTGAGTTCAGACTTCTAGCCTCCTAAACTGTGAGAAAATAAATTTCTGTTTGTTAAAGTAACCCACTTATGGTATTCCTGTTATAGCAGCACTAGATAACTAAGACATATGCTATCAGACTAAACAAAGATTTTTAGACTCTTATGTAGAAACTGATGATTTTTTCAAGTTGCTGCTAATTCAGAATAACATGGAATGAAGATTAGCTACATAGAACTAAGTAAACTAAAAGAACTACCATAAAGTTTTTATGAGAATATTACTGATGTTCAGTGTTTTAATTTTTAGATGTAAGAAACTATTTTTATATTCCTTTCCCTCTTTTAATATAAGAATCATTATTTCAGTAACTAATAACATTATGTTAGTTACAGAATAGCCTGTAGATTAAAAAAATTTATGATGCATATTAAAATTATGATTAAGTATATTTATAATATTTTAAATGATTCTACCTGTGAACACCAAGAAATGAATGCTGAAATGACTATAATATGAAACGTAGTTCTTCAAAACTAAACAGCCCTCTCTTATGTTGCTTATATAGGCTCTATATTGTTAAATATTGTAAATCTTTAATCCAATACTCTAAGAAATATTTTCACAGGTTAAAAAGAAGCTTTGGGCCACCAAAAACCAAAATCCAAGAATCTACCTGATATTATTTCAAGGGAACATGTATATTAAAAAAGACATCAGCTAAAAGATTCCCTGGGATCTCATTGGAAAGGACTGTATGTAGTTCTCCTTACTATCCTTATGTTGTTTCTATGTTACAGGAAGTTACGACTTAAATGCAATGCACCTCTCCCAATTAAAAAAGACTATGGCTCCTACTTGGACTGTCCAACCCACAAAAGGACTTAAACTCAAATTCAAACATTACAAGGATCAGAAGCAGACAACACTTGGTGTAGACTGCTCTTGCCAAGACTCTGGACCAGGTCTGTATCCAACCCACACTAACCCTAGTTCTTGAAATTTTTTGACTTTGTTTAATACTCATTGCTTTTTCATGTCTTCCATTGACATTTTTGCTCTTATTTTCTCTCTTGCAGTTACCATATGTGCTATCACTCTATTGCTCAAATATTGTTGACATTATTCTCTGTTAGTCATTCTAAGTTAATAAGCTGCTTAAAATTAAAATCACTACTATAATCCTGTAATAGTAACTGAAGGAGTTTATTTTGTAGTGCCATAATTTGCTTATTTTTTGTATTGGTATATTATCATTAGGCGGCCTTCCTCCATTCTGATGTGGAGCTTCAAGATACACAATCATTGCCAATCCAAATCCAAATCCAAATAACAAATCCCATACCTGGGCCTTATCCTGTTCAAATGACTGCAATATAACAAGACAGTAGACACTGGTCTTTTAGAATTCCCTACGTTCTTTAAAGTTGCACCTGGATAAACAGAACAGGAGAAATGGAGCAAAACATTGCTCAAATATGCCAAGAGGCCACCAGGCTACAGGTACTGAATAAACCAAACCTGACTTTCCCTTTTTGACATTTTTAGCTGGTTATCTAAAGGAATAGGATCTTTGGTTAGATCTATCTTGTTTACTGAAATGATTATCCTCATGTCTGTTGTTGTCATCATTGAAATAATCAATTGTTTTACTAATATTGTTACCCAAACTACCCAAAATAATAGTCATAAAAAATAAACAAACAATGCACATAGATTCTGCTCATTTATATAACAAGATGGAGAGGACTCACACCATGAATTAGGTTTTTGAAAAGGTCAAGTTGTTTCTTCATTGTGGCCTGTGCCACTAGTTTCCCCAAGACCACTGAAGGAGGATGCTAGAGCTATAACATGGCGAAGAAGACTTTTAATAACCAACTACAATACTAGAAGCCTTAAAATACTAATATGCATGTCACTAAAGCCCTAAAGAAAGTCCATGCAGAAGAAAACATGCCTTTAAAAGTCATCAGAGGTTGTTCTTTGAAATCCTTCATCAAAAGGAGGGAATGTCATGTCGTGGAGTCTTAAAATTTGTAAGACATCTGTCCAAAATAAAATTGCTGATCCAGAGTCCTGTCTCATACCCCATCCTGACTTCTGCTTCTGGCTAACAGGCTGCTAATCTTTTACACAGATCCAACCTATCACTAGGAAACTCCTCTCTCCGCCTCCCCACCCCCATGGCTAAGCCAAAAGGAATGCCAGCTCCCTGGGGTTACTGCTCAAATGGTTGCCAAAACACTGTGCTCCAGAAATAATTCTGCTTTAAACCAGTTATCTTAATAACTTGCTCTCAGAAAATCTATTCCGTAATCACCTAAGCTTTAACTCATTTCTCCCTAACCAAATGTCCGACCTTTACACTTCCAAGGACTCCAAGTTGAAACTGATCTGGTCTACAATCAATCACTAACCCGCCTGTTGGCCCATTCCTCTGCCATTACACACTGTGACAATATCCAATCAAAATGGTGCACTTTAGGTTCTTTGTTCTTACCCTTTAAAAGGTCTCTGTAGCTTCACCGTTTTGCAAGTGTTTGTTCAACTCTGTAAGATCAGATGTTTTCCCCAGTCTCAACTGTTTTTGAACCTTCAATAAATCTTGCTTTTATTATAACAGAGTATGAGTTATTACTCTTGCACAATGGTAATGTATCAATATTGGTTTAACAATTGTAATAAATGTACCACAGGAATGCAAGATGCTAATAATCGGGGAAACTGAGAGCAGGAGGGAACGCTTTGTACTTTCTGCACAATTTTACGTAAACCTAAAGCTGTTCTAAAAAATAAAGTCCATTAAAAAAAGGTAAAATTTACTAAATAGACAAAGTAGTTCTGATTTTCATAGGAAGATTCAGGAGGAATAATGGGAAGGTGAAATAAAAGCATTCTAGAAAAGAGGAGAGACACATACACAGGAGATAGTAAGGGAACATGAACTTGGCCTTCCAGGGGCTCTTGGGCATCATGCACAGGCTAGAAACACAAGCAAAAACAATGTGAGAACACTCATCTCTGTGATTCTGTTGCCTACATTTGGGGATCTGATCTCAGTTAATATAAGAGTGGTCTTCAAACAGCATTATTTTTACTCTCCTCTTAAATGTCAAACTTGACTACTTCGGCTTCATTTCAATGACCTCTTGCAGTTGGGTTGAGCAAAAATAAAGCCATACATTTCTGAGCTGCATGGGCCCTGATTTCATCAGTATTCTCTCATATGTCTAAGCCTTTGGTTTTGCACCAGTTAACATAGTGAGGTAATGACTTCAAGATGTGCTTGAAGAATTCTGCCCAGTATCCCAGTACAGGCTGACCTGAATTTCCCAGGCAATGACCCACTTGGTTCTGCCTGCTTACACCTGATGTCTCTACCAGATCCTTGTATGTGCCTTCATGGATTAAAATGACATAGACATAAATTATTGGGTGTTTTCTATGATATGAAAGAATTCTTCAACTTTGAGCTCTGTTTCTAGTCATACCTCTTCATATTGGCAAAGACGTAGATAGTAACCCCATTATGAGGCATGAGTTATTTTTACTCTGGCAGTATGAGTTAACCAAAAGTGGGTTGGTTGGGTTTTGGAGCAGTTTTCTATGTGACAACATACCCCATTTAAACATATTCACGGACCTTTTGTTTAGAAAAAAGAAGTTCTGTGCCCTACACCTGGATACAACCTGAAGATTGTGAATAATATTGACTCATATTAAGTCATCTAACTCTGACTCCCTCCCCTTCCTTTTCTCTATCCCTTCTTCCCTCCCTGCCTCCACACACTGGTCGCTTATGTTTGTCCAGTATGCTGACACAAGGTCAGAGAGGACAGACAACATCTCTGCCTTCAGAGCAGTGGGAACAGAGAAATAAGCACTGTAACATGGCAGCACAGTCTATTGTGGGGATGCACAGGGGGCTTTAGAGCACAGGGGAGAGGCCCCTAATTGTATGGAGGAGAGTTCAGGAAAACTTCCTGCAGGAGGTGGCCTTTGAATTGCATTTTTGAGGTCATGCTATGTATACGAATAAGGGTAAGAAAGGGTGTTTCTGGCGAAGAGAACAGCATGGAAGAGTGAAATTCCACGAGGCTGAAAATTACGAGATGTTACAGGTTATAGCAGTGTAACTGGGTGGCATAACCTACTCATGCTTGGGGCTTGGGGATAAGGTTTTCATGTGATGATACAAGGCCCTTGATAACAGAAAATATGTCGAGGCCTTTGCTCTCAGACAGTGCGGATGGCCTTATTGCCCTGCAGCTACAGAAATTCTTTGGGCAGAAACCACCTTGGCTTCCCTCTTGGCTATAGCATCAGGACTAGATACGCTGGATTTACTGCAGTAGTTACGTAAATCTAAATGGAGCAAAATCACCAGTCTAAAGCAATGTGGTTTATATCAAGCAATTGGAATGTCATTGATCTTTTCCTTATATGAACTTAGAATCTGATCTGTAAGACTTCATATATTTTTATGTGCTATTTTTGGGTCAATATTCACTTCTTGATCAGATCATGATCATCATGAAGAGAGTTTTTTCTTTTATATTAAACAAGAGTTCCAAAATCAAGGTGTTTGACTAAAGTAAAATGGCTGGCCTCGGTCAGAGTTCAGATTCCATTTTAAATTTCTGTTTTCTCCGTGTTTACCTTGAGTAGACTTAATCTTGCAACTAAGAAAATGTTTTTCTCTGTGGTTAAGCTAAGAATGTAGCAACAATGTTTCTAAAGGGAGGGTCTTGATGCAAGCCCCTTATCAGAAATCTCCTGCACAAGCAATTCTTAGGGAGTGTTTGCTAAGGATGCTATCTTGGTAAAATGTTCTCAAAAAGGAGTGTCCCGTGATTGTTTTATCACCCTCTGTAAATCCTCCATTTAGTCACTAACTTCTCTAATTATGAGAAATAATCAGTCTAAGAAGCCCACATATATGCTTTGAACCAATCCATCTTCCTGCCTGCTAACATCACTGAGCACTAATCAGACATTCTGTATAGTTAGTCCCAGATTTAAGCATATAAATATGTCTTTGTAACTTCACCACCTCGGAGCGTTTGGTTTTCACTTTGTGAGATCAGATGTGTCCCTGGTTCGAATTGTTTTGAATCTTCAATAAATCTCTTTAATTTTACTTTAATCAAGTAGACGTTTTACTCTTGGACAGTATCCTTTAGCAGTTTCCCAAACTTCCACTGAGATAAGAATTACATAGGGTTCAATATATCAGTTAGTGGGCCTCTCCTCTGTAGATTCTGATTCAACAGGTCTAGTGAGGGCTCTGTCTCTGGTTTGGTTTTTAAATAAGTGCTCTGGGTAAGTCCTATTATCAGGCTAGTTTGGGGAACACAGTGCATGCTACACATTACTGGATATTAGGCACTTAGCAAGTGCTTCCGTCTATATCTTGCAAGATGGTGGTGGTGGTGGTGATGATGATAATGTCTATTTACAGACTAGGAAGCTAAAGCTCAGATAAGTGATTTGCATCAGAGCATACCATTAGTAATAAGGTGACCTGGCCTTGAAGATCTGATTGTGGTTTGTTGTTAGGTTTGGAAAGTTAACTTGTTTTATTTGACTTCATTTTTTTTTTTGGTTGCACCACTTAGATATTTATAGTTTTTAATGTAGTGATGAAATGAAAGCAAAAAAAAGTTGTTTAGAGCTAAGCTAAGTTGATACTGTTGGAATTTGAATTCATAAATCCAGAAATAGACAACTCAGTTAAAATAGTTCTCTTTCTGAAGAAGCCTTTAAAAAGTTAAAAGATCTAAGCTACCTAAATGTGTTTATTTCCTTTCAAAATAAAACAAACCAAAAATAAAACAAATCATTGCACAGTATACTACAGAATTATTTATAAAGGTCATTCAAATTAATTACTGCCACTAATTATTTCCTACATACTAGCTCTTTTGACATTTGTTAAGTTATGCTAAATAATTAATTTAGTTCACTTCAATTCGTGATAATTTTATCAGAGCCAGATTGAAATTTGTCTCTGAATTGCTGACTAGGAAGGTATTTATTCAGCAGATTGACATCATAAACAGCTTCAGAAAAAAACCAAATGAAACATAACTGTATTTATTCAAAATCTTCTACATGAGTGGAGGTGACTGCAAGTCCATCATTAGTGCAGACCTTGCAGAGCCTCTGTTCAGCAGCTGATGCTGTGTATGTAAATGTACCATAATGACACTTGGAGTAAAATAGTCACTGTTTAACATATTACATTACATTCTATAGTGTATTCACTTTAATTCAGTATATTTACCTTCTCTCTGATTAGTTCAATATAGAACAGTGGGAAACTGTACAATAAAAGAGATTGTGTTCTAAATATTACTATATTTCAGTCAAGTGTGAAGCAATTTAGGATTTTCTAGATTAACTAGGAAAAGATGCAATTATAATATTCATAATGCTAGCACGTTTATGTATTTAAGTGAAACACATTTATCAATT